AAAAAACAAAACAAAAAAAGAATAACAAATTGATCCTGTGCTTTGTAACAGTTTTTAATCTATAAGCAGTGTACTTTTCCACTGTTGCACAGTAGTTTAAGCATTGAATTTCCAACTTCGTTTCAGTTTGGTGTGCATTTGACTTTTTTCACCATGTGAAAACCATTTTCTATGGTTGGAAACTATTAGTTATCCTTAGTGTGAACAACACTTTCTTTGTTCCTTTTTTTTTTCTTTTTTCAGAATGGGTGCAAACTGGTATGCTCCAAACAACAAAGCTCTGTCATCAAAAACAGTGCTCCAGCTTGCTGCTCTGTCGCATTTTAAGCAGTAGTTGAAAATACCTGAGCGGGGGGAGTTCTTCCACTTTCAGTTTGTCGTTCCTGGAGGAGAGCGGTGAAGCCTTCACTGGGGGCCAGGGTTTGAATCAGGCTCTTCTTTGCTTGCAGCCTTCCCTGTAGGTCTGGGGTTTGATAGCGGCCGCGGAGGAAGCTGAAACACGCTATCACACCAGCCTGGAGCTCTTGGTTTGGACCCGCTCTTTCATAGAACGAGTACCTGATGCTGCTTTTATAGTATAATATTCAATTCTTGAAACCCGTTTGGAAATATTCTTGGCTTTCGGAATGGGAAAGAAAAACTTTTAAGAGCTTTGAAAGCTGCCACAGGGACTCGCTACTTAGCTGGATCAAATCCAAAATGGCAGCCACAGCCTCCTTTCTTCACAGGTGCTTTTTGAAGAATTTAAAGCTCTGTTTTCAGTTCACGAAGTCTATTTATATTTTGTCTATGCTATGAGACTGTATAGCTCAAGGGACTGGTAATAGGATGTGGTGCCTTTTACCATAGACTTGCCAGCCCGCATCTTGCCCAAATTGGCAGTGACAAAGCCGTCAGCCACTTACTGGTGGGGTTGGGCTTACGTTAAATGTGGTTATTTGTCACCCTGGTTCCTAGTGGAGTAAGTGTCCTGTTCACAGAAAAGTTTGGCTGTCTTTGTCGGCTGTCTTGGGAAAGAGATAAGGCCTGAATTGGCAGGAAGATGATACAATATCATCTCCCTGTCCTGAAGATGCTGCTTTCAATCAAAATTCATACACGTGGCCTCAGCAATGGTAATAAAGTTTTATGTTTTATGTAGGTAAATGAAAGGTGTTAGCATTAGCCACAGTTAATTCGGAATTTTATGAGACTGCAAATAGCAGAAGCTTTTGCTGGTGATAGTTTGAAAAAAATTAATTGTAAGTCAAATAAAATCTTGAACTTTGAAACCCTAATGTATTTTTCAGTGGCCAGCAAACCAGCAACTTGGTTGTTCCTAATTCATGGTATGCAACAAAATGCAATGCCTTGTGTGATTCTCTGTTTCTGTAGAACAGTTAAGATCATGTAGCTTAAAAAAAATAAAAATCCATAACAAGAACTTAAGCTACGATAGGTTCCTAAATATTGGTGTTGTAATCTGCTCTATGTTGTGTTACGTGCAGATTTGTTGTTATCTTTTTTTGTGCTATTTAGGGAGTTTGGCTTTTTCTTTACAAAGGAGTTGTCATTTGTTGGGTGGCATCTTGTATTTTCATTACTAAATCAACGGTAGGGGCCCTATCTTAACATTTGCTCATTTTTGGCCCCCAGTAGACAGCAGTGTATAACCAGCTGAGTACGTGAACTGTACAGATGGCTGAATGTATTTGAACAATTAATTGCTTTTTTTTCTTAGTTATGCACAGTATCCTTGGAAAAAGTCCTACACAAACTGAGAGGAAAGGACATGTTACATTGCAGCACTACATATTACAGTGGTCTCAAACCAGAGTTACGAGCTGAGCTCTTCCAATCTCGTCTTTGCCACCATCTGATTCTGTGGCTGTGGTTATTCTGTTTATCTTTCTGCTGTTCCCCCCAGCATCAAGTGAAATAGTTACCTTTCAAGTAATTAATATTCATTACTAAAAAGTAAAAATATATCCATGAAAAGAGCTGGCTCAGATTTTGACGGTAGGTGCTATACAAATAAACTTCATTTGTATTTGTACATTTTTAGGCTATTATTTGAAAATCTCGGCTTTAAGCTCTGCCAGATCTTGGCATCGCAGGCTAAATAAACATGCTTTCTGGAGTTCAGTGTATTTAAGAGCAGAAACTCAGTTACGCAGGTTTGGCCTTCTTAGTGTATCTTACTTTTGGGACTGTAACTTTATTTGAAGTAGATTGGAGCTAGAGCTGATGTGCTGGCATACTTAGAGTAGAAGGAGGTGACTGAATTGGGTTGGATTATTTTATGTGAATCACTTCTTCCGTACTTTTGTTATGCTTGTTCTTTTCCCTCTTGTTTTCATTCATAGCCATTGATGTGCATACACATGTGAAACAGCATTTTCATGATTTTGGGGAAAAAAACTTTAATTGCCAATAATAATAGTTCCAAAGCTTTTTATTTTTCTTCTTCTCCACTTGGTCCTTTGCTCCTCCATAGTGCTGCTGTGTTCCGACGGACAGAAGGCCTGCTGTGTTCAGCTCTCTCTCTCGTGTCCCGTCCCGTCCCCCCGTCTCCCCTCCACCTTTTCTCCTTCACTGTGCCCTGCTTTTTTCCAAGCTGTCTTTCCTGGTGTCAGAGGACTTTTTATCTGTGTTCGACTCACAGTCTGTTAAAAAACAATCAACAAGCCTTTACCGAGTTGATTTCTGATCATTATTTTTATGTCTGGTATAGAATCTGGTCAGTGAGTTTGTCAGAGCAGGGGCGTTTAGCTGTCTCAAAGGGAGAATTCAACTTGTTTTTGCAAAAGCTGGAGTACTGCAGGGTTTTGTGTTGTTCAGATGCTGCTGCTAGCTGGACGAGGAGAATCCATAATGATAGGAACATCTGCCTAATAAGAGCAGAGTAGACAAAGGGATTAGTTTTCATATTGATTACAGTTTTAAACTGTTGTGCCCATCAGGAGTAATTCTGATCACATTGTTGTTAACTCATACCAGTGTGCAGCTGCTAGCTGTGTGCAAACCTGAAGTGGCAAGGACTGGTATTTCCCCAACTTGGTGTAGCTCGCATGGTGTTAAAGGCTTACTGCAGCAAAGCAGTGGTTCAGGGCATTCTGTTGAAGCAATAAATGCAAACTCAGTCTTTATGAGATCAACATCTCTGCAGTCGGTCAGGTTTTCAGAATACTCTTACGGAAGACCTGTGCTTCTGTGGGGTAAGTTTTATTCTCTGCACTGTCTAAAGCAGTGATAATAAATAGCGAGGCTTGGAGTTCAGACTGGCAGTAAGCTAAGGGTGTGAAGTACTATACTTTTGATTTGTTGGTCAAACAGTAGCAGTATTTTAATTTTCTGAACGTGTAAGCTGAAGTGCAGAAAGAAATAGGAAAAAATAAGAAATAACATTTCAAAAAGTTAACTTGGATTTATAGTTCAGTAATTCATAAGAACCTTGTTTCAAATTGTGTCTATTTCTGATGCTGTAAGCTGCTTACTTGGAAAAACTTCGTGCCAACGTGTTCACTGCTTTCCCAACCTTCTTACGTCTGGTTCAAGTTGTTGGTTATTTGGAAATGAACTTCATAATGTTTGCCTTTTTCTTCAAGTTTGACATTCCGTATTGGATCCATTACCAGGCAGTTATGAAAATGCTTTCTGACTGACCATTTACAGGAAGTCTGGAAATTCGTCTTAACTCTTTCTGATTTAATCTTTTCAAGATTGCCATTACAGACAAGCTTAATTAGTTTTGACCTCCGATTATGAAACATAATTTTCACACCTGGAGAATACGGGATGTACTTAAACATCAGATTGTCTGATCGTGTACTGCCAGCGTTTCCCACTCTTTCTTAGAAACATGTGCTGTGTAGAATAAATGCTTGTGGTCTGTATTCCGTGAATTTTTGTTATTTTAGTCAGCAGTCAACTTCAAGTGTTTTCTTCTGAAATGTGTGGTCATTGATTGTACGTAGTGCTGGTACCTCATTCATGCCTGAGACGTTACTAGAGGCAGGCCATCTTTGTTCCTGTAATTCGTGTTATTCAAGACTAAGACACATCCACATACAGACAAATGGTGAATGGTTGGTTAGAAGGGCAGTGTCTTTCCTATCTACTTTTCATACACTGTTAAATATTGATTCAGCGTGGCTGATTTCAAATGGAAATTACTCTGTGAAGGGGAGGAGAGGGAACACCAACTTGCCACCATCTCTGGCACACTCCTTGTTGCCTCTGATCTGAGTCTTCCCCTACCACCGAAGTTACTGTTCATCTAAAGCAAGTTCAACAAATACGATTTTTATATCAAAAGTAGGCTAAGAAAGTTGAGTAAATCAGTGCAGTATGTTAGTATGGATTCTGTTGGACTAGACTGGAAGTACTTACTCAGAGCTTTTTGTATGTATTATATCTTGTTAATGCATTGCAATTACTGAGTTAATAAATCGCAAAACACAAAACTGGATTTGTTATTTTTTTCAATGAAAATTGCATATAACAAAGCTTGTAGAACAGAAATGTCAGCCTTAGCATACCCTGCCCTTACGAGGTATCACTTGTTGGGGAGAGAAAAGGAATTGCAGAGTATTTCTGAACTAAACTTTTGCCTAAATGTGTGTCCTGGTTGTTCCTTTCCTTGAGAATCGTGTCTGCTCTCAGTACACCTCCATTACATTCAGTGCTTATGCTGTAAAGAGTCTCACCTGCTGCATGAAGCGGCAATCACCGTAATTAAGCTGCATATTTCAGCACTCAGTAGGGAACCAGTTTATTTTTCTATGCAATTGGAGCCTCCTAACCAGCAGTTCTTTTCTCAGTGTTAGAGTTTGAGCATTTGAGTGCTTTTGGAGATTTCTGGAGAAGACCGTAAGGGAATTGGATTTTAAATAAGCTGACTGTGGAACAGAACAATTTTGGGGGGATGTATTTTATGTGTACACGTTTGTGTGTGTGCATGTGTGCTTTTATATATGTATATTTTTACATTGTACGTTCATGATCCGTATGTGTTGCAGATCAGTGGTGAAGCTCAGGAACTCTTCTCTGTTCGCCATGGTCCGGTTCGAGCTGCACGAATCTTACCAGCTCCACAAATCAGTAAGTGTATATGTATATATGGTTTATAATTAAGCATTACTTCTTTTTACAGATTTTTGACCAAATCATTGTTAGAACCTGATATGTAGGTCTTCCAGTCATTATAAACTCTGTCACCTTGACTAATACCTCTTCATAATAGTGAACTCAAAAATACAGCCCCAAATCTGATTGCTGTAAATTACTTTTTGATTTTGCATCTAGCAAGTTACACCGCTCTTTTTTCTTTCTCAAAATTGCATATATTTAGCATTTGACAATGATAGTTGTTACATATTCAAATTAGCTCATATTAAATTTAGTTAAACCTTTTAAAAACATGTTTTGGTCTCTTTTTACATGGCTTGGTTTAAATACATCTTTGATTAAAAGTACATGAATGTATCATTGACCCGTATTTGGAATCAGATAAAAGTAAAGCTGTAATAAGAGGCCTTAGATAACTAACACATGAGCTTTAATGATTCAAAATAAAAGGAATTTGTAAAGGAGAAGCTGATTACCATCAGTAGGCTGAAGCGCTATTTTACTGTAAAGCTGGAAAAAGGGAATTATTGAAACTGGGACTCTTGCATGGATGGATTTGGCACATTCCTAGAAAGTGATCTTAGTTGGTGATAAGAAGCTCATTCCCAGGTGTGAAAGGAAAGCTTATGGTTTTAACGCGGTGACTTTACGGTAGCAGAACTTAATAGTTTGTCAACTATTTTGTTAAAATGCTGTAGTGCTTTGATGCTAGATTCTCTGCGGCATCATGTGCTTCATAGCATAATACAGCATTGTTTCAAAAGTTATTTCATGCAGGCTTGTTTCATGCAGGCTTACTGCAAAGGAGACCTCAAATCTGATTTAACAGGTTATAAGTGTTCTAGTAGCAGGAACGCGGGGCAGTATCTGGAGTTGGCCATGCACACTGCCAGCTCAGATCCGGCAAAGTTTATTAGTTCAGGCTCTGTGCCACGCTGGGGCAGTGAAATGGCTCCTGTAACTGTTCTGGCCTGGCAGCCGTGCTGCAGTGTTCGTACAGCAGCGTTTTGTCTCAGCTACCAAACCAGGCAAGGCCTGACCTGGCCCAGAATCGCAGCACTGGTGGATCTGCAGCCGGGGTAAGATGTCCATAAAGAACTGAGAGACTGCTGTAAAAAAAACACTAAAAGACATAGGCACTTACTCTTCTCTGCGCACCCACTTTAGATCACCCACAAAATTTAGGGTCAGGAATAGTGAGAAAATTACTGTTTCTGATTCCCCTGAGGTTAAAACTTGAGGTGGCTAAAACATGAGTAACTGTAGCCAGCCCTTGCTTCGCTCAGCCTTTTCCATCGCTACACAGTAATGCTGTGCTCCCCGTGAGTGTTAGGGACCTCCAGCACATTTGGCGTGCATTGCCTTGTCTTGAGGCAGTGGGCACGAAACAACTGGGGAAAAAGAAAAGGGCTTTTGTCACTTGCTGAGAAGCATTTCTGATCACCAACTCAGGGTATACAAGAATACCTTTGACTTTGGAAAGACTGTGAATCTGTTGTTAGATAAGAGCTGTTAAATATTTTATAACACTGTATTTAATAGTTGTGAACTCTGTTTTTAGTGTGAATGAGATGCTTGCATTACTGTAGAAAAGAGAGAACAGCATTCAGGCAGTCTTCAGGGGGCATGCTGTTGGCCACAGCCACAACAGTGAGTTGAAGTATTTGCTGGAGGTAGGACGTCCAAGAATTAGTTGTCTGTTGCTGCCAGCAGTGAGGGTCAGAGGGTGGGCATTTTTAATAAGAGAAATGACAGTACTGAACGAATTTGACTGTTAAACTTGGGGGCCAAAAAAATGCTTTGTTCAATAGAACCTGGAGATCAGGTGTATACAGGATACCTTTTTGCTTGGTTAAAGGAGTTGCAGAAGCTCCTTTAGCTGGGAGATCTTTGCTTGTCTTTTTGTTAACTAAAGAAGGGAAGGAAGGTCCTAATTCAGACAGAAGTGGTTTTCAAGCTAAGGTTGCTGGTCAACCCTTTGCTCTGAAGAACCTCTGAGTGCTGTTTGCAGTTGCAGAAAACAAAACAAAGCAAAACAAAAACTTGGGACAGAGCCAATATGGATTGCAGAATGTTGTCTTGCTGTCAGAACATTTCTGGCCACGGCCAGTGGGCCAGTGAAGTTCAGAAATGACTGATCTGCAAGATTGCAGCATCACTTTTCCTCAGCTGTATGTTCTTAGTAGGACTGGAATTGTAATGTGATCTTGTGTCATCAAAACAATACCTGTGTATGTGTGTGCGTGTGTACAAATAGGATGGATTTGGCTTTATGTTTGTACATGGCATGGAAGGCTTTCCCCATTTCAGCCAATAAGCCAAAATGCGTAACAGGTGATAACACAACCCTCATTTCCCTGGTCTGAAGAAACAGACTTCTAAGTGAAACGTAACCATCCCATCATCATCTTCAAAAATCAGATATTTTTGTCTTTAAATGATTCTTGAAATAAGTAGGAAAGAAGCTCATGTCTTCCTATCCCAATTAAAACTTCGCTGCCTTCAGCAGTCGGTATGGTTTTGATTATTCTCTACAGCTTGAAATATAAATGGTTCAAGTTTTAAAGGGTGACCGAATTCCTGGCTTAAGAGAGGAGATGAAGTTGCCTAGGTAATATTCAGAATATGAGAATATCTCTGTCTGGATGCTGTCAGTCTTAAGAAGACTAGACCTTGGCACCTTGGTGCAACACGCTGCATTATCAGCTGAGCCATCTGGTGGCATGGCTTTTTAACTTGCCTAGCTCTTCCCTTTAAAATCTGTATGCTGTGATTAATTTAATACATATTTATGGCACAGGTGCCTGGTTTGGTGGTCTCCGAATTTCTGTCTGTTTAGATGCATTGAGCATGCAAAAGAAAAAATAAATGTTTGAAGACAAATTGATGGGACTTTGTGATTGTTAGAAGGGAGAAAATATTGTTAGATACAAAACAAAACAGAGCTGGGCCTCTGCCAGATAGATTTAGCTACCGTGCTCTGTGAGGAGGAGACTACAGTTGGCAATGTCAATGTAGTTAATGATAGTGGGGGGCGGAGAGGCAATATTCAGGGTGTTTTAACTCCCTACTACTCCATTTTACATGATGCAAATTAGTAATGTCCTCAGTCCTGCTCAAATTTCTTTGTATTGGGCTTCCTCTCACTCAACACATAACAGCTGTATTTAGCCACGCCAACCTGATTATTCATATTCTTTCTTCAACAGGTTTTCAGATTTTCTCACTTCCTCTAGATAATGCCTTTCTCGTTTTTCTGGGGTAACTGATTACATGAATACTATTTGTACAATTGAAATGTTTGCATATTACTAAGTATTCTGACTTGCATATTCCTAAATTTGTCTTTTTTTCTTTTGTCTTTTCATTTGCATTTCTGTGATATTTATAGAAATATTACCTATTTTGGTTTTCTGCACTAGTTCTTTGACCTATGAAGTCACTACAAAACAGATTTAGAGCCTGTCTAGTAGTGTGTTTTTTTTAATGCTGTTTTTCTTTGAATACATTTGAATGCATTGTGAATACACTTCTGAAATCATTGCTAAGGAAATAATAAATATACTTCAGATAGGTTTGCTATTCTTTTTTTTTTCCCCTACAAAATCAGAATATTACTACTTTCTGAAATGAGTTAGTGCTGTGGTCTCCCATTTTTTATTATTTATCCCAGGTCACTTAAGAAAATCCTGGCCAAATACCTGCTTTCTGCCTTGTGCTATTTCATTTATTAAGGTAGCCTTTTATAGCTTAAAAGTCAATCAAGAAACTGGTGCTTCCTAGTGAGGGAAGTCTAAAGCCTAATTCTGGAATAGCATTACGTGTGGTAATTCATGCTTCAAGGGTACATGATGACAGGTTGGTGTGGTGAAGTTCAGATCAGTCATTGTCTGTAAAAACCTATTTCCATGGCTCAGCATTATGAAAATAAATTCCTCCAGTGAACTGAATTAATTTAATGCCATTTTTTAGATTATACCACTTGCAGAAAAGATGATATAATAGCTGTACATCTTGCAATGAATTTGACTGCTTAGTCAAATTGACTAATAAGGAAAACAAATGCAACTAAGAAAGGAAATAAAAAAGAAATCAGAGGTATTAAATTATTTGAAACAACTGTGAACCACAGGAAGCTTATGGACAAAGGTTTAAAGACTAGAATTAACTTGAAAAGCTAAAATTTATTGGGGGACAGACTAGTTTTGCATTTCAAAGTCTAAGGTTAAAAAGAAAAAAAGTACTACAGAAGATTTATCTCTGCGCTCTCCTGCTTACATCTTTGATTTTGGTAAAATAAAACGTGAACCTCAAAAGCTGACTCAACTTTACAGGCAGGTATACTTAAAAGAGCTATAATATTTAGGTTGCTTTCTAAGGGAAGGCAGATGTGAGTTTTGTATATACTCAACCACTTGGGTGGGTTAGTGGTTTTAAGTCCCAGAAGGCCAAGATAATTGCATGGTGTGTACAGCAGAGGAGCTAGCCCTACGGGTTGGACAAGCAGTAGCAGTTTGGAGGTAGATTTGGGTTGGGATAAGTTGGTGATGCAGGTGTGTGTTCATATTTTGCTATTTTTAACTGCTAGGTGCGTTGTTCCAGTGTAATGAGCTAATCTTGGTGGATTACAGAAATTACAGAGCAGAATTCTGAAGCACAGGAAGTAACCCTTTTTATAGATACCGTTGGGAAGAATTTTGGAGCATGACATTTTAAAACACGAATTTCTCTGAAGCTGTGTGGACTGGCCTGAATGCTCCCACTTCAGTTCTGGCCACGTCACATCAGTGTTCTAGACCAGTAGTCCTTTACCTTCCACACCATGATAGCCTGCTGTGTCTTTCAATTTTCTCAAACAAGAGTCGATCAAAATAAAATACTGCCATCTGTCTTCAATTTATGTGGGGCAACTGTTTCAAGATCATCTTTTTCTTTTTCTTTATTTAGTTGTCCAAGAATAAAACCACGGTGTTTTGCAGAAGAAAAAGCAAATTTCTGTAAATGTGTATAGTTCTACGTCTTTCACCAGAAATATTTAATGTTTGCACTGAATTTGGAGCCATCGTTCAGAGTTTCCCTGTGGGTGTGCTGGCAGCAGTTTGGTCCAGTTCTCCAGAATTGTCTGTTAAAGCCAGAAACAAATGCACAAACACTTCCTCCAGCAGATGCCACTCCATGTCGCTGCTGTCTCTGCCTAGGGCTTGTTTTCATCTTCCTGAGCTTCTTTTTAGGAAACCTGTGGGTTTTCTGCAGTTGTCTTGGGGCTTGCCTGCCCTTCTGGACAGACATTGTTTGCACATTGATTCTGATGACTCCAAATACTTTGCTTGTTGCATGCAGCCAAGATGTGCCAAGATAATGTTCTCCAAGCAGCTATTCTGCTTCTTGCAGTTGCTTCTTGCAACTCTGCTGCCTTGTTAGCTCTGAAGTGGGATGGTGGAATGGGCTGAGGAGGCAGTAGATGCCAAAATAAAGCTGGAGTTCGTGGGGGTGCTTCTGGCGGATGCAGGAAACAGGCATGGTGCTGCAGGTTTTGGAGAGGGACTTTGACAGGTAAGGTGTCTGGGGGATGCTGGAAGTAGGAGATACTGTGATGGGAGGCTGTGGTCTGGACCAGGAATCCTAAAGGAGCAGAGTAAGGTCTGCATGAAGAACAGTCACAGACCCATTGATCAGGCGTGATACCGAGTAGTGGAATTAGAGCTTATCTGTGCAGGAAATGGGGCGTTTATAGATGCTACCCTGAAGCTGAGGAAAGAATTCACATGCTATTTTTAGGACTCGCTCAAACCTCTTCACTTCGGTTTCAAGTAGCACGTATGTTTTTTGCTTTCAATAACAAACACACAACAAATCAGTCACAAAATGGTGGTAGAGATTAAGAAATGTTAATTCATTTTTTTTTTTATTTTTTTTTTCTGAGTGGAAGAAGCAAACGGAGTGAAAACCATATGTAAGGAATGCCAGCCACGTGGCTCAGGGCACTTTCAGATCCTGGTTGTCTCCTGCTCTGACGTGGCAGGACTGTGAATGCAACACAGTTTTCAAGTAACAGAAATAAAAGGGTCTAGTGGAGCAGGAGATGCACGGCCTTATTGAATTGACGGGATCGCTGGAGTCACATACCAGAAATAGGCTCTGCATGCATGGGCGCTGTTGCTAAATAGGTCACAATTTGATACTTAGATAGTGAATCTCTTGCTCCAGGGAAACAAGGGGACTTCGCATAGCTTTTGAGTTTGTGTGAAAATGAAGGGGGATTCTTCTTTTTTCCCCAGGTGTTCTGTTTCTGTTGCTAGTGGTTTTGTTACGGGCATTACCGAGAGGCCTTAGGAGGCTGAGGGCTGTCTGTTCACAGCCTCATCAGGAGTACAGCACATAAGCTGCTCTGAGCTTGTGTGGATAAACTTTTGACTTCATAGAGTTGTAAATGTTGATTTTTATGGAATTTCATTTAGCCATTTTTTCAGTTTTAAATATACTAACAAGTTGGATTTAAAAGGCACATATATGTGATTTAGCTAAATGGAGCTGTAGATGCGGCGGGGCCTATTTGGCAGCAAAGACAGTTTTCATTACTTTAATTGTGTGATTTGTCAGGATTTCCAGCTTTTCGTAAATGCTGTAGTGTTATATGACAGAATTAAAAGGATTTAGAATAAAAGGAGTTTAAGAAAAAGACTTTGCAACAGGATTTCAATACTTTTTGTATTTGAGGGATTTAGCGAGCTGTTTTTCATTTCAATCATCCTGCTGCATTTGGTTAAACACTGTGTGGAGCAGGTGTGTGCCACGTCAGTATATCGCACATGCAAATAACCACAATTTTACAAATAAAAATTAATCCACCATAACTTGGAAGATTAAATTCCACCCCGGAACTAGGCAGGGTTTGCTGACTCCATTAAGCACTGCAGAGAACAGCACATGTCGCTTTGTGCAATCTCACGGACAGGCCTGCTATTAACCTGATTTAATGCCCCGCAGAGTCCTCAAAATAATGATCCATTTCTAGAGTATTAATATTTACATTCTGAAAGTATAGATTTGAAGTAGGAGATGAATTTTTTGAAAAACAAGGCCTTCAGTCATTACAGACTGAAATCAGCACTTAAGCACCTGTTGTACAAATTTTGCAAATCTGTATAGTAGGTATTAAAAATTGCTGTTCCTATTCCTGTGCTGTCGTTTTCCTCTACTCTTCACCAACTTTTCTTCTCCTTGATCTCTCTTCCTTGTTGTTAAACTTCGAACTAGCCCACAAACAAACATGTGAATTTATGTGTCTAATACATCCTGATTTTTTTTGAAAAAGTATAGTTAATTACTTAAGGTAAATCCTGGCTCCACTTTAATTGCTGTCTGAAGCCCTGGTAGTCAGCACTTCGCCCATAGTGCCGAGAGGCTGGCTAAGGGAACAGAAACAAATGGAGTTGCTCTGTTACTTGTACTGAAGCAAACAAATGGGTTGCCAGACCCTTAACGAAGAGCGTATGTTTCATTTATCAATTTACAGGTCAGTACATACAGTACAGGTATGACTCATAAAAGAGCTTGAAATAATAGGAATAAAAGGAAAATACATTTGGCTCTTTTAGGTTGCTTGTAAAGCTATTGTTGATGGGGAAATTATTGACGTGACCCATTTAACTTCACAAATACCCAAATGTGGAGGAGGGAAGAGTTATCCTTGTGTAGATGAGAGCACTGAACAGTTTTTGTTACAAATTAATTGCATGTACCTGGGTTATTAATAATTAACAGAGACTGTTACGTGAAAATATATATTGTTAATTGTTGTGCCTTTCTGGATAACTGATTTAGTGCAACTGTGCCAGTATTTGGGAATTAATTGTGAACAGACTATATCACTAATATTCTTCATAGATCAAAAGTTTTGATGTATAATGGAGACAAAAACAGTTCATTTTTCACCACAGACATAGGTAAAGATAGATAATGTAAAAGGCAAAGGTTGAAAGAAATTGGAGGAAGTTCAGTGGTGGTGATGGTGCTTTTTCTGTTTTTTAGGTTGGGTAGAAGCATACCCTGGAATCAGTAAAACATTGTTCAGAAACAAAGATACTGTTGATTCAATTTTATTTCGATTTCTGTTCATATATCAGTAAGGCAAGCACCTCTGCATCCAGGGCAGGCAGCGGTGTCTCAGTGTGTGCTAGGTGCTGTGCTGGCTCTGTGCTCTCGGTGCCTGGCGAAGGGAATCTAACAAGTACATCGGGAATGTTGTAAGAGCCCCGTTCGTCTGCAGGGAATAGCGGGCACAGCTGGAGTCGCGCTGGAAGCTGGTGACAGAGTTTAGGAAGGCTGTTTTGAATTTAATCCTGTATTTTCTTAGGCACGTAGCATGGGGGTTATGCGTGGCCCTGCTTTGGGCAAGCACTTGCAGCCCAGCTTGTCCCATGCTGAAGAGGGTGGCAGCTGTTGCGCTGCACTCTTTTGGTTAACGCTGTTAGACTCTGCTTACACCTCAGCAGAGCAAATTGGAAACCAATGTGTGAAACCCACGCAGAGTTGGTGACAGCCTTATTTCAGACAACTTGGGTAAAACAATGAAAAGTTAGCAAGTGCTACTTGTCATTTCTTACAGCTGCAGAATTCTTAACCCCAGCTGAAATGAATAGAGAAGAACTCAAAATCCTGACCAGATTTTGCTACTTGTTTTGTTCCTCATTGCTGTCTTCTTCAAGAGCAGTTGTTCACTATTCGTGACTGCCTGTTATTGGTATTTCTATCACTAATCTTGCACAGGCTGTTGAGTTTTGCATTATATATTAGATATTCTTGCAGTATATTGCCCCTCACTCCAGTGTATGCGAGCACTTTGAAAGGTAATGCAAACAGTATATAGTGATTTGCTTTCTCTTTTTTGCTTTATCTCTTTTAGGTACTCAGAAATGTGATAATTTCTCTGAGAAGCGGCCTCTTCTTGGTGTGTGCAAAAGCATTGGATCTTCAGGGTAAGAATATTTTTCATGAATAAAGTTGTCTATATAGATGGTAATGTCATCTAAAAGTGTAACCGTAGAAAATTAAACTCTGTCCTGGTTTTGCTCATGGGATAACACCGTGAGGTGCTTTTAAAGCTTTTTTTAATGTCAGCACACATTGACATATGGCTTCAGCTTTATGAGGAGAGTAAAAAGTGAAGATTATTGCTACAAAATAGATGACGAGCTATTTTGAGTTCTTGTTCTAATGTAGTCACAATTTTGTGATTACTGATATTAATCCTGAAGAATTACTATTCAGAAGTGTCTGAAGCAACCTCTGTCTTGACAAGTAATTAAAAGATGCTTTCAAGCAGCAGTCGTACTCCAAATGAATTCCAAGCACCACACAATCTCATTGTTACAGTCACTCACTGTTTATTAGCAAAATACATTACAACTCTACTTCTTTCAGTTAGGAAGTTAATTTAGTCGTCTTGTTTTGTACTGTCTGGACAGTATTGTTGGATCACTCCTCTTATAAAAGAAGGTCTTAAAAGTTTTTATGACCGTGTTAGATATGTTTATTCTGACAGAGCTAAGAATTTATACCTATATGTTGTGGAGAATGCTCACTTTTCAGGGGTAATCCTCTACACACATTCAAATGCTAACAGTTAAAGTAAATCTTACAGTAGTAAGACTAATTATGTGACACGCCTTTTTCAGTTAAAAATTTATTCACTCTGGATATGAAGGAAGACAACCAATGTGTAAATTTCCTAAGGATATTTCTGTCTGTGTATTATCACCATTAATGTTACTGCTCTTAAATCTTTTAAACAAAAACTGTGTGGGGTAGAGAGCTGAAATTTCCTTCAACTGATGTGTTTACAACTTGTAATACTGCTCAAAGTGCCTTTTTTTTTTCCCAGGTAAGTGTTTGTAATCTTGTGAAGAACTTTTTCTAAATAGGAGTGCTTGTTACCAGTGATGTGAATATTGCTCTTGGAGGATTTTCTGTCTTAATGCAAATAGTGCATTTATATATGTTAAGGGGTATGTTGGATGGAAAAAAAATCCTTCACACCCTTGTTTGAGAAGTGAGATACCTGAGAAATGAACAGGCTGTAAGGTACATTAGTTTCACTGTGTTATTATGTTCCTTAGTTAATGGGAAATACTTCAAAGATGATTCGTAGTTTCTGCTTTTTTTTTTTTACCAAAAAACTTAACGTTTTCAAAATGAATGGATTAGCTTGTGTTGCTATTTAACAGTAGTTAAATATCTGCAAATTGAAGGAAGAATTTTAAATTAGGCTTTCAGCTCTGACCAGAAGACCAGAATGCAATTAAAAAAAGGAGACAGCTCTACAGACTCACCTTTACCCAGCTAATGGTAATTTGCTCACGGTGATAAACCTTGTTTAGAAAATTTTGAAACACTACTCTACATTTACTGTTCATGGCAACTTATTTATGAAAGAGTCCTTGCAAACGACCTGTTTTTTTGGTATGTGTCAGGTTAAGAACTCCTTGATAGTTTGTCCTCAATTGGAGTCAAACCCTGACTACACCTAAGTTGCCATGGTTTTGGAATATATATTATTTCTTCTTTTAAATCGGTTCAAATGTCACTTTATTCTTTTAAATTCATAGCTCATTTAATTGCATTTCTTAATGATTATTATGCATACAGAGGAGTTTCCATAGGACATTAAAACAGCTTTGTCATGAGCAGCTTCTGAACCTGAGTCACAATTTTAGTTCTTTTCTTAACCTGAAGTTTTGTTCTGAACATCATTCCCTGTATAGCTTACTGGTTGTGGACAGACATAAAACTCCTTGTTTAATCATGTATCTGAAAAAAGTACTACATTTATTCTAGAGCATTTATTCCAAAGCACTTGATATTTTCACTACAGTCATCTCTTCTCCCACTTTGGTGATTATGCTGGCTATGGCATGAAATACAGCAGCTGTCAGCGCACTAATGAAACTGTGAACATAGGGAATTGGAGGCCTCTCTGTCTACTGAAATGGCAGTGGTAAAATAATCAGTGAAATGATGTAGCACTGATAGTAAAACATTTCTCATTTAGCAGAAAGGTAAACTGAGTGTCTAGAAGACTGAATGATTTTCTCAAGGCATCTAGTCCAAAGCAGATCCAGAAGTGAAATCCAGGTCTTCCAACACTCCATCTGTTATGCTGATACATTAAACCACGTTGTCTTTAATATAAACTGAATGAGACTGGACGTGGTTATGACAATGGGTCAACGTCCCTGTCTTTGCAAGATGTAGTCTGAAAAGGAAAACAATTCAGGCAGCACAGTCTCTAATCCTGGCGTGTCGTGCCATTCTGGAACGCTTCTGCATTGGAAGTCTACGCTTCTCTGTGGACTTTCAACAGTCCCCTGGCTTTCTTCCATTTGGATTTTATGTGGAATCCTGTCATTACCCAAGGGGAATGATTATGGGAAAAAAGGGCTCATGATTTCAGTCTTGATCATCATAATTTGGGCTTTCATTTGCTGTTCTTCAAAATTTCTGACATCTTTTCAGGATGCTCTGTTCAAATTTTGATGCTATTGTTACTCCTTTCTCAAAACATCCTGACAATTTTGACATTGCCAAAGAATTTTTATTGTGCTTCTCTGTTATCAATAAATATGGCTAATATGATTAACATTTTGGAAAAGTTGGTGACTGGCACCATGACTTGGTTTTGAAGGATATTTTTGGACCCTGCTGTATCTAAATTATTTTCTGTGACAATCATTTATACAAAATCCATTTTCTGTAGCTCTTCTAAAAAGTGCTTTGGAATTGTTAATTTTTTGGATGGAAGGTGAAGAATAAGTGTATTATACACCCAATTTTTGATTAAAAAAAGCCCTGTTATTAGCTATTCAGTACAGTTCAGAAATTGCTGTGAATTGTCACATGCTGTCCTTGACCTGGACATGTTTAGTTCTTTAATATTTATATTTTGTGTACACAGTCCTGCATGATAGAGGAGTGATTGTTTTTTAAATGTATTGATATCTTTTGTGATTTTAGAGAATCATGTACGAATGCATAAAAATCTTTTGAGAAACTTAAATTCAGTATCTATTAACACATGGGAGTTTTAAGTGTTAAAGGTGCCAAACCATTAAAGTACTGTAAATCTGATAAAATACAGTTTATATCTAGATCCACTGCACTATCTTTTCATGATGGCTTTTAATAGTATTTTATCTTTTAAGACTATATCAATGAGATACTGACACATTCAAGCTAGGAGCTGGGATTTCCTGGTTCTGACCACCAGTCTGCATTAGTGGTCACTGTCAGGAAATTCTTCTCTTTTCCTTTAGCTGTAAAGTAGATATGCTATAATGAGGAAAACACGATAAAAATATTTTTTAATGTAGAACACTAATCAGCCTGAAATACCAAGAGTTTTCAAGTTGTAATGAAGTAATAGCTTCAAAAAACATCACCTATGCTAAATAACTTTGGTACTTTCTCTGATGTACAGTGTACTTTAATGGAAGGAAACTTAACGAACAGCTTTATCTATGATACAATACAAGGGCTTCTTCACCTCATTATAAAATAGAGATGAGTATAAAAGTATTATACAACATAATGTTTGCCTAAAATCAGTGTTTGAACTTGTCAGTCCTGACATTTTTTTCAGTGTCGTTTACAGAGTGAAAGATCTCTCTGGTAACTTAGAAATAAACTAGCGTTCCCCTGAGATCCCCCCATATTTTCATGAATTACAGACTTTTGACTACTGTAAAAAATACTTTTTAAAATTTTAGTATATCTCCCAAAGATTTAACAATATATTAACTTAAAAATAAGTTTCTGGATAACTTCACATGTGGATTGCATCTCTTCTGTAATGTGGCCTAAAGTAGTAGTCACTGATATGATCTCTGCTGATAAAACTTACATTCCTTTGAAAATCCAGTTTTAACCTTCAGTTTAATATTTCTTAATTTTGTATCTTAATTTTTTGAGATTGTCATGGTTGAGAACCTGCATTAACATTTTTATTCTGTTTATTAAACCTTTCCATTAAACTAAAATCACTAAGACTTGCCGTTTGGAGAATTCACAATGTATTTTTTGTTTATTTCAAATGATTTAAACAGTTGCTTAATTCAGCGTAAATCCTAACTTCTTAGTCTTATGCCAGGGCTTTAGAAAGAAATATTCATGCTTTCAGGATTTGATAGTGATGCTTCTTTGAAGTGATGGGTATGCAGTGGGAATTCTCTGCGTTCTGTTCTAGTTCCTTGCTTGACTGTATACTGATGTGGAAATGTCTTACTGTATCACAGAACTTTGCTTAGAGAAAAATGAGATTTATTGAAAAAGCAGTAAGAAATAACCTGCTGGCCAACCAAAGCTCGTATATTCTTTAAATTTGATTACTCTAAGAAATCTCTAAGATGAAAAATATCAGAGTAATTCCAGCATGTAGAGGATAAGGTAAATTTAAGATCACCAAAAATACCAAACTTACAGTATTTGGCAAATAGGAAACATTAAGTTTGAGTTCCCTCTAAAGTAATCAAAAATGAAAAAATGACCTTTAACTACGAGGATCAAGGTTTAGGCTCTAGTCAGCTAACTTGAGAGCTGGGAATACAGAGGGATGTCAAATAAGAAAAAGTCCCATGCCTTCTAGAGAAAATGCATCTTTTATATACTAAATTTCTTTGAAATGAAGTGGTAAAGCTATATTGTGATAAACTGCAGTGAAAAATAACTGCTACTTTGAAATTAATTTCTGGCACCTGCTTTTTGTAAAAGTTCTGTAGATGTGCCACTAATCTCGCTCTTTGTATTTCCCACAAGTATTTTACCAGGGGAGAGGAATTTGGTGTTTTCTAAACTTTGGCCTTGTATCTGAGCTTCTGACTAACTTTCAATATATACATTTTTTGTATTTTAAAAGTCAAATTTTCCATCTAGTAAAATGACTGAAACGTCTAGCACGGTTTCGCTATATAATCTTTTCAAAATA